ACCAGTAGAGTCTCCGATGCAGTTTCTACTGGTAGAAGCTCAGATTCTAACCCGTAGAGACGCCGATCAGGTTTCTACTGGTTGCTTTGAGTCTCTGCTTCTGTATTGTATTGTATTGTATTGTATTGTAGACTTTTCTTTCATTAAAAAAACTGAACAAAAAATCACATTGACTATCTGATACAATCATTTTAGTTGTATTTTAATACAATACTACAGAGGACTAGTATGCAGTGCAAATTTAGCTAGACATTGATCATAAATAAAAATGGTTAAATCAATTTAGTTAGTGTTTTTAATACATATATACAGAGACTCCTAGTATGCAGTGCAAATTTACGCTGAATGATCATCAAAAATTTTAAAAAAAAAAAAAAATGGGGTTAAATAAGTAGTTGTCTTTAATTACAATACTACAGAGGACTAGTATGCAGTGCAAATTTAGCTAGGACATTGATCATCAAATAAAAATGGTTTTTTTAAATCATTTAGTAGTCTTTAATACAAGATTACAGAGGACTAGGATGCAGTGCAATTAGACTAGACTGATCATCAAATAAAAATGGTTAAATCAAATTTTTTAGGTGTCTTTTAATACAATACTACAGAGGACTAGTATGCGTTTGGCAAATTTAGCTAGACATTGATCATCAATGAAAAATGTTATTTGGATTAGAGACTCTACCAGTTAGAAACTATGATTGGATCTCACTGTAGAATCTCAAATTAACCAGTAGAGGATGCACTCGGGACTCTATGGTAGAAACTCCGATCGGAGTCTCTTACGGCAGAATCTCTGATTGTAACCAGATTGCAGTCTCTCCCTGACAATATATTATATATATAATTATATTATATCATATACTATATATATATATATAATCTTATATACATAAGTAGTGTGTGTGTGTGTGTCCATCTCTATAAACAACGCTGCCTACGTGTGTGCGTGCATGCGTATGTGCTTGTGATGTGTAGTTGTGTGTGTGGGTGTGTGTGTGTGTGTGTGTGTGTGTGTGTGTGTGTGTGTGTGTGTGTGTGTGTGTGTGTGTGTGTGTGTGTGTGTGTGTGTGTGTGTGTGTCGATACCTACTTTATTATGTATCCTCGAAATTAGTACACGAAAATGTAGTGATGAAAGCGCGCACATGCGGCATACCGAATT